CCTACAGTTCAATGCACAAAATGCCAAAAATGGTATCACATCGAATGCGTTGGGGCTACTAAACAAAATTAGCGCGGAAAACAAAAAATTGACCAAAAAGTGAGGTTAATCCACGTTATGAAGATGAAGTGAAAAACATTGATATAATGAGAAAACTATCAAAAATGGATGACCTTATTCGAAAATATGAAGAACAGGTGCAAATTACCAAAAAGTTGCAAACTGAGGTAAATAACCTAAAGAAACAGGTTAACATTCTTGAGTTGCAAAAAAACCAAGCCGATCAGAATAGTTTAAAGAACAATGTCGTCATCATGGGAGTTCCCAGCTCGAATGATAATGTTAAGATTCTTAACATTATCATTCGAGCTGGGAACTCCCATGATGACGACATTGTTCTTTAAACTATTCTGATCGGCTTGGTTTTTTTTGCAACAATATTCTTAACTTAAGAATATTGTACTTGAAATATCCAAATCATTGGGGTGTACCAAGTATAAGTGAAAAAGACCTTGAGTGTTATCGTTTAGGAAAGGAAGACGAGAACAAAACTCAAGCAATAAAAGTAAAATATGTAAAAGAGGAACACAAAAATAAAATCATGCAATCAGAAAAGAGAAAATATTTAACTACAGAGGATATTGGCCTGTCAACCAAAAGCAAAATCTATATTAATAATGAACTAACCAAACTTAACCAAGAAATCTACAAAGAAAGCCGTCAATATAAAAAAGACTTCAACTACAAATTCATCTGGAATAAGAATGGAAATATCTACCTGAGGGAAACTGAAACCAGCAAGGCAATTATAGTCAAGTCTCTTGATACAATAGAAAAATTAAAAAACTAATCTATGCCCTAAAAGTTACCTATATCAACATAAGAAGCATCAGACACAAATATGAAGAAGTAGAAATAATTTTGGCTGAAACAAAACCGGATATTCTTCTGGCTTTACACAGATGAGGCATTAGCAGTAAAATTCAAAAACTATAACACAATTCATTCTTGTCGAGACGATTCAAGGGAAGGTGGAGTGGCAATATGTATTAAAAACACATACAAATTCGAGACCCTTAGTAATATAAGTAACAACAATATAAACTGTATCGTTATAGAATTAAACAAACTAAACACAAAAATAGGTGCAGTGTATAGAAAACCAAGTGCTCCAAAAACTGACTTTATACAATTTCTTGAATCTGACCTACTCCAATATAAAAAACTCTTACTAATTGGAGATATGAACATAAATATTTTGAACTCTGAAGAAGACTATATAAATGTTGTCTCTAGCAATGGATTCGAAATTATAAATGAAATATCCCCTTCTAAACCCACTAGAGTGGATGTACATACAGGTTACAAATCAATTATTGATCACATCCTAACAAATATAAAGGTTGATTCAAAAATTGAACTCTACAATCATAACATCTCCGACCACAAGATCATAAATTTATCAATCAACGGCTCCAAACCAAAGAAACCTCGACAAATTTATTATTATGTGTCCCACCGGGATCGGTGCTCGGCAGAGCTGTTCCGAGTACAATGAAAAAGTACTCTAGTGCAAAACTAAACACTAGCCGGCCTATTGCCTTCATCAAATATATAAGGCCAGCAACTGTGGATGAAGTATATAACATTATATATAATATAAAAAATAACTGTGCTCCAGGTTGTGACAAAATAACAAAAAATGATATTGTGAACGTGATTGAAGTGATTGGAAAAAATATTACAAACTTAATAAACTCTGTTTTAAAAACTGGAATATTCCCCGATGAATTAAAAACTTCAAAAATAATTCCAATCCATAAAAAAAGTAGACAAGACGAACTACAAAATTATAGGCCCATATCCATATTAACCACCTTCTCGAAGATTTTGGAAAAGGTGATTAAAAAAAGGCTGGTTGATTTTGTGAGTGGTACGTGTGGCTTTGACTCGTACCAATATGGCTTTCAAACTCAAAGTAGTACACTGAGCACTACAATGGATTTGCTGGAGACTGTTGCATCAGAGTTGGACTTGAATAAATATGTGGTTATTGTGTTTATAGACCTGCAAAAAGCCTTTGATACAGTCAACATTCAATTGCTTCTAAAAAAGCTTGAGGTTCTGGGAATCCGTGGTGTGGGTCAGAGATTGATGAAATCTTACTCAGAAAACCGAAAACAGTATACAGTGGTAAAAAATGGAGAGAGCGAACTGGCCGAAATAAAAGTGGGTGTGCCCCAAGGATCTGTATTAGGTCCAATTGAATATTTAATATATGTCCACAATTTAAAATACTCCGGCATTAAAGGCAGATACTTTATGTTTGCAGATGACACAGCATTAGTATACAGCGGAACAGACCAAAAAGAAATTAACAATATTATAAATGAAGACCTAAAAACCTATTGTAACTGGTTAAATAGTAACAAACTCAGTCTTAATACACAAAAAACTGAATTTATGATATTAAAACAAAAAAATAAACCTGTTATAAATCTGGACATAAAAATTAATAACATCTCTATAAAACAGGCACAAACTATTAAATACCTGGGACTTATAATAGATGATAATCTTAGTTGGAAAAATCATGTTGAAAGCATAATAGATAAAATAGTTCCTATGATAGGTGCAATTAGAAGATGCTCAGAATATTTAAATAAAAATGCAAGAGATCTCCTCTACAACAGTTTCATTATGCCACATCTACGATATTTAACACCGTGCTGGGGAAATGCTGCCGAATATGTATTGAATAAACTCCAAAGAGTACAAAATAAGGCTGTGAAAACTCTATATGGATTAAGCAAATATACCGCTACAGAGGAGGTCTATAAGCAAACAAAAATACTACAAATTAGGCAACTAATACAATTGGAACAAGCTAAACTAATTCACAACATCAAAAACAAGAGCATCAAAACAAACATCAATCTGGTACAAGGAAAACATGTGCATGAATATAATACAAGACAAAATAATGATTATAGAAACGAAAAAAGACGAACAAAAAAAACACAAGACTCTCCAGTATTTAGAAGTATCCAAACATACAATATGCTACCTGAAGACGTTACAAAAAACAAAAAAACTGTGATAATGTGCAAAAAACTAAAAAACTATTTATTTAATTGTGATATTATTCCTTAATACTATTTAAATTTTTATTTTGCTTTACATTAATTATATCTATTTATAGACAAACATATTTTTATACTAACAAAACTTACATAACATATTACATTGTAAAACTTTTGTAGGCCCTGTTATCAGTATGGCTATACTGTTTTGGGGTCAGAAATAAATAAATAAATAAAAAAAAAAAATAAAAAAAAAAAAAATATTTCGCTTTATGTTAATTATCAAGGCCGGCTAGTATCATGTTTCACTTTGCCTTAGCTTTATTTTTTAATTTTATTTTTGAGGAATATTGTCACCTTATTCCTACCAAAATATAAACAAAATTACATTTCATACATAAGTAAAAACCTTTTGTTCAATGCTCTTTCCTGTGTCTTTTTATTTATTGATTGAGGCTGTTTTAAGGCTGTCGCGACAGCCTTAAAACGACATGTCGTGTGAATCAAGCTGGCTGATGCTGCCTCAGCATCATGTCCGTAATTTGACAAGTCTGAGCAGTGTTGCCAAATTTTCAACACCCACGCACATATTTGCACATATGTGTCCACGTCAACCTCACTGCATAAAAATGTACTCATTGCATACTTTGGATGTACTCGAGGACACGTAAAAGTACTCGAGTACACGGGAAAGTACTCGATTACACGGGAAAGTACTCGAGTACATATTTGCAATGTTAAATGTATCAAGTACAAGTATAAGTACATTCAAATTAAAGTACTCGGGACTGAGTACCGAGTACACTGAAAGTACTTGGAGTACAGTGTTTGAGTACTTTTACTCGAGTACCGCACAGCTCTGGTGCTCGGCCCTTTACTTTTCTCAATATATATAAATGATATAACTAACTGTGATATAAAAGGCTCTATGACACTATTCGCTGATGACACTGCACTATTCTATACTGGTAATGAAAGGGAAATTTTCGAAGATGTTCAAAGAGACCTTATTAAAATCTGTGATTGGACTAGTCAAAATAATATTAAGTTAAATGAAAATAAGTGCAGTTATAGTTTTTAAAAACACACTCTTCACCAATAAGCCTAAGGATAAACAATACGCCAATAAGTGAAGTGAAGACAATAAACTAAATTTTGAACAACACATACGTGAAGTTAAAAAAACCATCAACAATATTTGCTACTTTCTACGCAGAAATGTATTTCTAATGAATCAAAAAACCAAATTCCAGATCTACTATGCATATATTCATTCACACTTAACTTACCTCCCATGCATTTGGGGACAGGCCAGAAAATGTAATATTAAGGATTTACAAATTTGTCAAAAAAAATCATTAAAAATAATATTTAATAAACCACCTATGGCAAACACAATAGAAATGTACAAAGAACTTCAGATTCAGGAAATCATTAATCTAGACTCCATGATCTTAGTGTACAAAATAAAAAACAATATTTTAATTACCAAAATTAAGCTGCAATTAAACTGTGATTTACACGAACACAATACGAGGACCAGACAACATTTCCATGTGGTACCAAATTCTTCAAATGTGGGAAACAAGAAGATCTCCTCTCAGGCTGTGATATTGTTTAACCAACTACCAGAAAATATTAAAACGCTTACATCCTTAAACCTATTTATTCTTAATTTAAAAAATTATTTGTTCTCACTGAGAACTTGACATGTATTAATATATATTCTTTAATTTATACCTGTTGTAGATGCTTGTAATCTTTTAGGGTTTAATAAATACATAAAAAAAAGTGTAACATGCGGCGTGTGAGAAAAACGTTCTAGTTTGATAAATACGACATGATCAGGAAAAAATAGTAACCTGGTTAATATCAAACGCCATATGTTGAGTTTATATAACTTTAAGTTTTACGTACCTTTTGAAATTGTAAGTGCAGGAGACCATTGAGAACGTAATATGTCTAGGCAAATACTGCCATTACTGTTAATGTTAGGATGATATATTCTTGTTGTAAATGCTACTTTGGGTGGTTTAAACGGATAGTCTGTAGGGAAATGTATTGTTAGGAAAAACACTCCTCCTTGGTATGGACTGTCAGGCTGAAAAAAATATGAAATATTAAAAAAACTTTTAAAAACACTACATTAATGGCTACATGGGGTGCAGGAATAATAAAAAATCATTGTGGTATAAATAATTTTAAATTGTTTTTTTTTTTCAAAGTCAAAACGTGCTGAAAAATGGCTTGAACTTGCGTGCCGAGGCGCTGTCTGGTTTTTTTCCATGAATCGATAGGAGCTTATTTCAAAATATTAAAACCAAATTTGCACGACCTGAGCATATTTTTTTACAAATATATACGCAAAAATACATTTTTTTAGTTTTTAGCGAATATCTCGGCCCCCGTATATTGCACAATATAAAGTAAAAAAGCAAAATTATTTTTTATAAAATTTTCAATAATTTTTGTTTAAAGTATTTTTTGTAAATGAATAAAAAATCTTTTGTTTTTTCACATTTTTGCAAATCTTTCGCAAACGGTATATTTTATGATAAATTATTATGAGTAACATATTGTTCCTCTTTTATATTCTACAGTTTAAAAAAAATAGATCTTGGTGCGACTAACGAGAGCCGACCAATCCTCGAGTTAACATAGCCGCGCTCGATCACCCATAAGAACGCTTTTTCTTACTACTTTAGAGGAAGAGTCTCAGACCCGTTTTTTATTGCAGAATTTCCTGTAGGTCTAATCCACGTCAAAATATATTTATTTCTTTGTTTTCGTTTGACTATGATTTTTTTAGTGGAAGTGTCGTGGGGTAGGTCTGACCCCTTTGTCAGAGTCAATGGCAATCTATCTAGTTTAAACATATTTTCCTGCAAGACAATTTTCAAACTGCGAAACATTTTTACGTGGCCTTTTGACAGCACCTTACGCTGCATTGATTCGTACACCAGCACGAAATGATGTCGACAGACAAGTGATGATGGTTTTGTTTCTCCTGACTCAGAGGTCATTATTGGCTTAAGCTTTACACCCCCTATTCTGGATCTAAAACATTCGCCAACCATGTCTGCACCGTTTGAAAAAGAATGGCGTTCAGCCGCCGATTCTTTAGGGGGTAAATTGGCGAGATCGGATTTGATTTTCAGGATTCGTCCACGAGAACAGCTTCAATAAAAAATAATAAGATATTTTTTGTTAGAGAAGAAAGCAACAAAACAACGCAAGATCATTTCCGGCTAAAGCTGTTCTCGTGCACGAATGATGAAAATTAAATTCAATCTCGCTAATTTGCCACCTACACAATCACCGGCTTAACATCATACAGCAAGCAGCTGTCGAAAAGCCAGTTTAAAATGTTTTGTAGTTTGCAAAGCCGGAAAAATATGTTTAAACGCTCGTAGATTGGTCGCCTCTCCTTAGCAACAAGCTCTATTTTTTATATTTTAGAAAATTAATAGGGCTACAAAATGTTTATCTTAATAATTTACCGTAAAATGCAGTTTTGCAAAAAAGTTAGAATTACGTATATTTTGTAAAAAAAGATTGTCAGGTGGTGGTGCAAATTTGGTTTTATGCTTTTCAAATAATCCTCTATCAATTTATGAAAAAAATCCAGACAGTGCCTCACCACGCAAGGTCAAACGACGGTTTGACTGGACTATAAGAAACCTCTTAAAATTTCATACTATTTAAATAATGTTTATAGTAGGCCTTTTTATACCCTGATCTTAATCATTTAAATAATATAATATAAAATTTAAATTAAAAGGATTGGGCACAGTACAGAATTTTAAGAAACCAAGTAACTCAAATGATCAGAAGTGCAAAAGAGGTGTATTATACAAATATATTGGATGAAAAAAAGAGAAACAGTAAAATGTAGTAAAAATTTAAAAACATTGATGCCTGGATCTAAGAATAATAATATAAAAGTAAAATTTGAAAATATTTTGGTGGAAAATAAGAGAATAATTGCTGACAAATTTAATAAATTTTTTGTTGAAAGTATTAATAAAATTGTTAAGGACATTCCTTTGAGTCCTAACCAAGAAAACTCATTGAACAAAATTACAACATTTAAACAAATCAATAATTTTAAACCAGTCTCAATGGAAATCCTGAAAAAAATCATAAGGTCGCTTAAAAATACAGGTGACATCGGCGATGGTATTTCAACTAAAGTTTTAAAGGATTCCTGTTACGTGGTAGCAAACAGACTTCTCGATATTGTGAATACATCTCTGGACACTGGAGTTTTTCCGAATGAGTGGAATACATCGTACATAACACCTGTGCCTAAAGTGCCTGGGACATTTTTATGTGAAGAGTTTCGACCAATAAATGTGGTGGCTCCATATGAGAAAATCCTGGAACTTTGTGTCAAAAAACAAATAAGTGAATACTGTGATAAAAATAGTGTTATTGCTGATAATCAGTCAGGATTTCGAAAAAAACACTCTTGTGAAATTGCTGTGATTAATGTCTGTGATAAATGGATTAAAGAATTAGATAAAGGTAAACTTATTTTAACTGTATTTTTAGACTTAAAAAGAGCTTTTGAAACTATAAATAGAGACTTATTAATAAGTAAATTAAATAAAATGGGATTTTCTGGAAATGTTTTAAAATGGTTTAAATCCTATTTGACTCATAGATCTCAGATCGTTAATATAAATAACGTTTATTCCAATACAATTGACACAGTTCATGGAGTTCCTCGAGGGACTGTTTTAGGTCCTCTGCTATTTGTTTTATATATTAATGATATAGTTAAATATGTTGAAAATTGTGAAATATGTATGTTTGCTGATGACACCATGATATATGTGATAGGGAATGATATTAATGAAATGACTAATATCATGAACACCCAACTTAATGTAATTTTTAAATGGTTGTGTGAAAATAATATGTGTGTAAATGTTGGTAAAACTAAATATATGTTAATTGGTCCTAGTCATAAAACTAAAAATTTTAATTTTAGTTTATGTATTAATAGTAATAAACTAGAAAGAGTAAACATTATAAAATATTTGGGTATAATGATATATGATAGACTAGATTTTAAAGATCATGTTCATTATTTGTCAAATAAAATTTCAAAAAAGATCTATTTTATGGGTAGAATTAGTGGAAGCTTATCACTTTTTATAAAATTCTTATTATATAAAGCTATTATAGCCCCGCACTTTGAATTTTGTTCCACAATATTATTCAACATAAACAAAAATGAAATGCAAAAATTACAAAAATTACAGAATAAAGTACTACGCATTGTGTTAAAATGTTCTAAATATACCCCCATTAAACTAATGTTAGAAACTTTAAATATATTAAGTGTAAACCAATATATAAATTATAAAACTTTAATATTTATTTATAAAATTAAAATTGGATTATTACCATCATACTTATATGATAAATTGCATTTAGTCCAAAACATCCACAATTACGGTACTAGACAAAATAATGATTTTTATGTTGAAAATTTTAACAAAGTGCGTACTACAAAAAGTGTGTTTGTTAATGGGCTAAAATTATTTAACACTTTACCAAATGAAATTAAAAACTGTGATACTTTAATTAGTTTTAAGAAATATATTCTATCCTATGTAAAAGAAAAAAATTACCTGTGATATTTCTGATGTTATTACTAATATTTTTATATATATAATGATGAGAAATTGTAAATAGCTTATGCTAATAATAAAGATATTTATTTATTTATTAAAACAATTGAAATAATTGCAAAATTGGGATATTTTTCAATATTTCTAACTCAAAATAAAAATATTGTATATAAAGTTAAAAGAATTAAAGCACTTCTTTTTAAATTTTTGAGTAAATAACCATAGAAAGTTTGGATATTTTGTAAAGGTTTCCAAACTCGAAACGCGTCACCGTGGGTTCATGGTAAAATCGAGGGTTTGTTTTAATTCCAGGGCGCCCGCTAAACTTCGAATTTTAAATAGTAACAAAGTAACCTCCAGTTAGTTTAAAAAAGTAACCAATAGTAACCTAATAAAACAAAAGAAAAACTGTAATATTAATAAAAATATTTTAAATGTAAAATAACAAAACTCTTATCACAGATCAAATTATTGTTAATCTTATAAGGCATCGTACATAAATAATGATGGGGGGAGAAGGTTAACAAATTTGTGACACTCTGTGACCAAGTCACGTGACATCGTTTATTGACAATAAAAAGTAAAAATTACTGGGTAACCAGAATCTAGTTTAGTACGTAAATAAATATTGTATCAAAAAATACACAATAAAAACCAAACAAAACCATTCTATAAAAAAACTTATCACTAAATAAAATATTATTTATCACATTAAAGCATAATTTTTTTTGCTCCTTAATGGTATCAGAGACCACTGAAGTTTTTCTCTTGCAAAATGTGCTAGTCATTTTATCTGCGTCTTTTTGCAATTTATTTTCATTTGCTCTTTTGTGCAATGCAGAAGAAAGCATGGCTTGCGCAACTTTTTGTTCTACAAAATTTTTTTCGTTCAAAAAGTCTCTTCAAGAAAAAGGATTATTTTATAAAACCTGATTGATAAATATAGGACATTTTTTGAAAAATATCAATATAAAAAGAAAAATTACGCCACTAGAAACAGTTAAAATCTGCAAATTTAAAAACAAAATAAATAAGGTCTTTTAATAAAAAAAATATTCGACCACGACCATTTTGTCGCCTATCCCCAATTTAAAAGTTTTAGTCCAATTGGCAGTTCTCAAATTGCCCATTTGGTGATAAATCGTTTAAAATTACAACACCGCTGGTAGAAGCATACTCACTAGGGTGGTGCGATATATGAATATTTTTAAACTTGAATACTTTTATATGTAATTTTTTTTTTAATTTCCTTCCACCGCACAGTGTTTCAATTCTCTAAAATATCGACAAAACCTCAAAAATTTACATTTTTTTTTCAGGTAAATTTTGAGTTAGATGGGTAGTTAATACCTGCCTCCATCCTGTATTGAAATTTTGTTATATAAAATACGTATATTTTGTCTTGTACATCAGTTTAAACTAGACGCTTTCAGTTAAAGGTACTTTACACGCGATTGTT